TAGCCACTCCGGCTTTCCTGGAGGGGTCAAAAGCTGAATAGGATTGTGGAACATTCTTAGAAGCAAAACAAAAAGAGCCACTCTGTTTAAAATTAGTTTCTGGATAAATATGATGTCTGCTTCCGAGGATCTGAACTCCTTCAGAGCCATCCACCATTTTTGAATGAGTTAAGACCTTTGACATTATATGACAACAGCTTTAAAGCCATTATAAATCAGCAGTGGGTGTATTGGCTGGGTAACCTGAGTATACAGAAATATTATCATCGAGGAGGCAAAACAGAAAATAGGGATAGAAAACAAGGTGATTATCAAGGCAACAGGCCTATTACATACAAATGTATCACTCACAACAAAGGCCGTAGGAATAACGGCTAGAAACAAAGATATCATGAAAGATAAACACCCGGGATAATGGGAATATCCTGAGTCATCAGGGCTAGGGGCCTGATGCTGCAGGGGGCAACATGGCAGCTGACCCATTTTGGCAGATCCCTACCTCAGTAAAAAATATAGCATTTGTAGTCAAGACACATCAATGTGAAAAAACGCTAAGGCACACATGGGAAAAAAAGACCCAAATTAACATGGCGTGAAACCTGACATGTGGATGAGTCAGGTGGCAGGGCTCACCAATCCAGGAAGTAATGTTACATAAAAATACTTGCAGTTTGCCCTCTAAGGTATCCATCATCAGAGAAGGGACCAACGGTGAAGGATGTAGGCTGCAGGGGAATTTGTGTCTGTCCCCTCCATCTCAGCAGATCCTCTGGAGCACTCACTAGGGCTGCCGCCGCTACTCGAGGCCGGGGATGCAGACCTAGTGAAGAAGCAGTCCAGAACTGAAGGTTGAGGATCTGGAGGAGGTGGCATGAGCGGCTTATAGCACCCATTTTTTCCATGGAGATTTTCAGGGTGTGTCACAACCTAGGAGAGGGCTCTCCCAAAGCTGCAGAGCCTGTAAAAGTGGAGCAGGAGGGCCTTGAAGTCTGAGGGTCAGCTGAGCTCAGACTTCATGCATCTGCCATCTTGGACTGCTGCGCATGTGCCCCCAAGCAATGGATTTTTGTTGCCAATGGAATGCAAAAGTTGCTTGTGTAGATGACAGGGCAGTATCTGAGTGATATTAAGGGTTTTGATTTTAGCTAAGTTCAATTTGTAATTACTTAGGGAGCCAAAGATTTTGTATTTCAGGTAAGATAGAAGGGATGATGAGGTCAGCGTAAAAGAAAAGTTTACAGTATGTAGCTGGGGTCTGAATACCTTTGACCGAGGAGTTCTGATAGAGTACTTGGGTTAGGCGTTCTTCAATGCCTATGGCAAATAGTAGGGGTGACAAGGGACGGTCACAGGATGGGGAGGAACATAGCGACATGATCTGAGAAAGCATCTTGGAGCCCATGTCCACTTGTTCCAAAGATTGGGAGAGAAAGACCCAGTCCACATGGTTGAAGGCCTTTTCTGCGTCGAAAGAATGAAGACAAGCTGAGATCTTATGTTGGTGTGCAAAAGATATCAGGTGTATGGTTTCAGTGGTGTTGTCCCTGGCTTCACGCCTGGAGACAAAACCCACCTGATCCTTGCGGATGATGTTGGAGAACAAGGATAATATGTGACTGGCTAGGACCTTGGCAAACAGCTTCAAGTCTACACTGAGGAGTGAAATTGGTCTGTAACTACTGCAGGATGATGGGTTTTTTGCCTGGTTTGGGCAGGACAACAATTTGAGCTTGGAGAAAGTGTGGTGATGGGAGGTGAGAATTGTCTATCAAATCAAATTCTTTGCTAATAGTGGTGTCAGGAGTGGTGTGAAGGTCTTGTAAAACCAAAGGGTAAACTCATTAGGGCTTGGGCATTTCCCCACTTTAAGATTTTTAATCGCTCCTAAAAATTCCAGTCAAAGGCGCATCTGAGGAGTCCTCCTGCAAAAGGGTTGGTAACAGGGGCAGACTGACCATTTGGAAACTTGGGCAGTGCCCGAGGGCCGGGGTCATTAGGGGGCCCCATGAGATGCCCCTGGTATCTTTCTCATAGGCTTTTTTGAGTTTGGGCAAGGATACAGGGGCCCCATGATCCCCTATTGCCTGTGGGCCCCATGAGTTGTTCAGTCCGCCCCGGTTGGTAATGTGGTTTGCTGAAATAGGAAATAATATCAAGATTAGATCTGGGGCAATGACAGTTCCGCATGTGCAGGTGGGACAGCAGAGCTCAGAATACATGGCAGGGGCAGTTGGGCTGAGGGTGGTACCTCTGGCAGGGCAGTGAACTGACTGGGTGACTTTACTGCCACCCAAATCACATCCACCTAAAAGCTCTCACTTGGCTTAAAACAACTAAACACATTAAAGTAGCATGTTTAATATTACATTTCATTAATCACCCTTTTTAAATAACACTGGAAGTGGAAGATGAGTGGTTAAGGAACATTCTCGCTTTTACATTTGATAAAAATGTCACATTAAATGAAAATGTTTTTTAGATCTCTTTTCATCATATGAATTATTTTAAATCTGAGATGGCCAGGTGTAGGTAGTAAAGTTTTCTGATGATCTATAGGCTCATCTAGTTCACAAGCAATGATGTATCACCTCTGGAGACGAGCTGTCAAACAAGCATTAAAAAACCATAAAATAATATTTTTGCTTATTTTTAACATACAATATCATGTTAATTATTTAACACTGAGTTAGGCATATAAAGTATATTAACTGGGGGCCTTAAATAAACAAACATACATAGGTTTCAACAGTAATCATAGTTAGAAGTATATCTACCTTAAACTCGGTTCACACTAGACCTCAGATTTCTCAGAAAAGAATACCCGTCATTGCCCATTGCTATCAGAGGGGATATTTACATTCCCTGCGATAACAATAAAAGTGATTAAAAAAAAAGATAGGGACAGTATAAAAGAAAAAAAAATCTAAATAAAAAAAAAATGCCCCTGCCCCACCCCCCCTTCCTGTGCTCATTCGCAAAGGCAAATGCAAGTGCAGGTCCTGTGTCGGTATGTAAAAGAGATTGCACCATGCACGTAAGGTATCACCATGAACGTCAGATCAAGGGCAGTAATTCTAGCACTAAATCTTCTGTGTAAATATAAAGTGTTGACCAGTAAAGGCTTTTAAAGTTTTGCCTATTGATATTAAAAATGTACTTGGTTTGTCACCCTTGCATGGGCATGTGCAATTTTAAAGCATGTCATGTTTGGTATCTATTTATTTGGCATAACATCTTTAATATTTTAAGATCATCTTTAATATTTTATCAAACACTTGGGCAATATATTACGTTTTTGTGCATTAAGATTCAAAAACGTTTTTTTTCCCCATAAAATAGCTTTTAAAAATTGCCGCGCAAATGCGGTTACATAAAAAAGTGACATAAAAAATTGTAACACCCACCATTGTATTCTACAGGGCCATTGCTATAAATATGAATATATATGATGTTTGGGGGTTTGTCACGGATCCGACCCGCACGCTCACGCCCACAGCGACTAGCTAACCAAGGCGTGCATGTCCAGCCGTGATTTGGGGTAAGAGGGAATAAGGGGGACTTAATCTGAATATATATACTTATATAAGACCGGCCTTTCATATACTTTCATAGTACTTTCATTCATAACCTGCACAACCTCTGGCCACCACTAGAGGGAGACTCCACTCCAATCTAGCTGGCTGACCACACACACAGGCAGAAACAAATCTTATTGTCAGGGCTCCAGGGTATGACCAGAGGTATGTGACTGATGCAGGGAAACGCAGGCTTCAGATAAGTTATAAACAATATAATTTATTAAAGACTAACAATACAAACATAAACGCAGTGCAATACTAAAACATAACACAGTGCAAACGAACCAAACCAAACCACCCACAGATAATACATACAATGCAAGCGTCGTCAGGCAGGCCGGGTCAATAACAATCAGGCAGGTAGGTACAGGGGGGTCAGGCAGAGAATGGTCGGGGTCACAAGCCAGGGATAAAACAGGAGAAGTCAGCAGAGGTCCGGATCAGGCAGGGTCAGCAACAAATCAGACAGAGACAGGAACAGGAACAGGAACAGGGATGCAGGAACAAGATACGGGGGCCCAGGAAAAACACACACCAAGGCAAAGACTGCAGGTCTGGCCATCACTTAAATACACCTACATAAGCAGTTTCAGGTGTTTGGCTGGCTGCAGGGTCGAGTCTCTGATTGCTGGGAGCACCCGCTGGCCAGCCCTGGTACTGCAGCCCACAAGGCAGGTGAGTCCCACCATTACTGGCAAGTCCATCCCTAACAGTACCCCCCCCTCAAGGAGCGGCCTCAGGACGCTCCAAACAGTCCTAGCTGGGCAAAATGTTCCACCGCCCGGGTCTGGTAACTGGCGGGATATCAAAGACTGGCACATCGGGCAGGACTCCGGGCAGCGGCACACCCGGGCTGGACTCCGGGCAGCGGTACATCGGGCTGGACTCCGGGCAGCGGCACACCGGGTGGACTCCGGGCAGCGGCACACCGGGCAGCAGCACATCGGGCAGGACTCCGGGCAGCGGCACATCGGACAGGACTCCGGGCAGCGGCACACCGGGCTGGACTCCGGGCAGCGGCACACCGGGCTGGACTCCGGGCAGCAGCACACCGGGCTGGACTCCGGGCAGCGGCACACCGGGCAGGACTCCGGGCAGCGGCACACCGGGCAGCGGCACATCGGGCAGGACTCCGGGCAGCGGCACATCGGGCAGAACTCGGGGCAGCGGCACACCGGGCAGGACTCTGGGGAGCGGCACACCGGGACTCCGGGCAGCGGCACTCCGGGCAGGACTCTGGGCAGCGGCACACCAGGCAGAGGCACATCGAGCAGGACTCCAGGCAGCAGCACATCGGGCAGGACTCCGGGCAGCGGCACATCGGGCAGCGGCACATCAGGCAGGACTCCGGGCAGTGGCACATCGGGCAGGACTCCGGGCAGCGGCACATCGGGCAGGACTCCGGGCAGCGGCACATCGGGCAGAGGCACATCGGGCTGGACTCCGGGCAGAGGCACATCGGGCTGGACTCCGGGCAGAGGCACATCGGATCACCAGGCAAAGCAAACCGCCACCAGGCAGCAGCACACGGGCCACCAGGCGGGGGCAACAGGCACCGGGCCCCCAGGCGGGGCGACAGGCACCGGGCCCCCAGGTGGGGCGACAGGCATCGGGCCCCCAGGCGGGGCGGCAGGCATCGGGCCCCCAGGCGGAGCGGCGGGCGCCGGACCCCAGGCGGAGCGACAGGCCTCGGGCCCCCAGGCGGAGCGGCGGGCGCCGGACCCCCAGGCGAGCGACAGGTCTTGGGCCCCCAGGCGAGCGACAGGTCTCGGGCCCCCAGGCGGAGCCCCCAGGACCCCCAGAGCGACAGGTCTCGGGCCCCCAGGCACAGCGACAGGTCTCAGGCCCCCAGGCAGAGCAACAGGTCTCGGGCCCCCAGGCAGAGCGGCAGGGCGCCGGACCCCCAGGCGGAGTGAACAGGTCTCGGGCCCCCAGGCGGAGCGGCGGGCGCCGGACCCCCAGGCGGAGCGACAGGTACCGAGTCACCAGGCACGACAGTGGGCTCCGAGTCAACTGGCATGACCGCTGGCACTGGGTCAGACATTGGATCGTCTGGCTGGACAGCGGGCATCGGGTCACCAGGCATCAGGTCATTTGGCTCGACAGCGGGCACCGCGTCATCTGGCAAGGCAGTGGGCACCAAATCACCAGGCACGACAGTGGGCTCTGAGTCAATTGGCACGACAGCGGGCACCCGGTCATCAGGTACCGGATCGTCTGGCTCGACAGCAGGCACCGGGCAGCCTGACCCAACAACAGGATGACAGGGCACAGAATGCACTATTCACAGTAAGCAAAATGGCCGCTTGGAACACACCGCTCAGCGTGCGTTCCACTCACCTGAAATGACGCGGGACGTCAGGACAGGCAACTGGAAGTGCGTTGACGCGTTTCGCCCCACCCACAGGGCGTTCTCAAGACACACACCTCCTGTCATAGGCCGCTTAAATAGCAATGGGAAGTCCCTCCCCTCCATCACCATGGGGATTAACCACAATGCACACAGTAGGTCTCTGTCATCCTATGTTCACACCCCGTGAGGTCCCTTCACATATGGGATACATTTAAGTCCCTCAGCTTTCCATGCAAATAACAGAAAACCCCATAAAAGGAATTCCAATCCATTATTAAACACCTAAACACGTCAATATCCATGAATTAGCTCACATAAAATTAAACATAATAAAAATAATAAAAATAATTTTAATAAAAAGTAATTAAAAACCCTTATACACATATATGCATAACCCTCAAATATATCCATCTAAAGAAAAAAAAAAAAAAAAATAATATGTTTAAAATTAAATGAGTATAATTACAAAACCATATGTAGGTGCATAAACTCCATCAAAAAAATAAAAAAAATAAATTAATGAAAAAAATTAAAAAATTAAAAAATGAAAAATAAAAAATAAAATAAAAATAAATTGAATTAAAATAAAAATAAAAAATAATAAATACAAAAATATAAATAAAAATAAACATAAAAATAAAGTAAAAATAAAAATAGAAACATAAATAAAAATAAGAATAAAAATAAATAAATAAATAAAAATAAATATAAATAAAAATAAAAAAATGTCAAATGTAAGAATGTATACACCCACATACACATATACAGCACTCGGATAATACTACCAATTAGATAAAAAACAGTTGATGCCAATATCTGCATTTAACCCTTTGGGGTACAATGTCCACATCTGGTATATCCATTTCGTTTCATTTTGAGATACACTTTTGACCATATCACCCCCTCTCCAAGGGATCTCAATCCTGTCTATCCCACAGAATTTCAACGATGTCGGATCCCTGTTATGATGGACTCTAAAATGGTATGACAAACTATGATGTTTGAATCCCATCTTGATGTTCCTAATATGTTCTCCCAGTCTAACAGAAAGCTTTCTCGTAGTCCTCCCTATGTACTGGAGTTTGCAAGAGCACTCCAGCAAATAGGTGACATATGAGCTGTCACATGATATAAATTTCTGGATTTTAAAAGATGCGCCATTAGAACATGATTGGAAACAATCATAATATCTTTTGTCATCACCTTTTAGATGTTTACAAGCTATAACCTCCTACATTTAAAGAAGCCAACCCTATCAAGGAAGGTTACCAACTTCCTAGGCACATCTGGAACATTTTTTACAAGTCGCGCTCTCAAGTTGGTGGCTTCCTATAGATGAACATAGGCTTCACAGGTAGTACTTTTATTCAGGACTTCATCCCTTTTCAAAATTGGCCAGTATTTTTTTTAATTATATTCTCAACCAATTTATAATGCTTCGAATATCCAGTAACGAAAGCCAAATCACCTACCTTTTTCCTATTCTCCTTTTTCTTCAGCAGGTCTTCACTTTTAATGTTTTTAACCTGTTCCAGTGAGCAAGCTAGACTTTCCTCTCCATATCCCTTTTCTCTTAATCTTTGTAATAACATGTCTGATTGATCTAAACAAATGCTTTGATCATCACAATTACGTTTTAATCTAATAAATTGACTTTTAGGGATGGACTTCAGCCAGTTTCTATGATGACAACTATGGCTCGGCTATCTACTTCCTTGAAGTGTGTTTTAGTACAAAATTTGTCACCTTGTTTATAAATTGTAAGATCCAAGAAATCTATTGCTTCTTTGCTGATATTCTTAGTAAATGATATATTGAAGGAATTATTCCCCATTTCTTGAATATATTCCTCCAATCCTTCTCTTGTACCTTTCCAGATTATGATAATATTGTCTATAAACCTTCTGTAGAGTAACAATTCCAAATTCATATTCCCAAAAATGGCTTCACTTTCCCACCTACTCATAAACAGATTCGCCGCTGACGGCGCATATTTAGCTCCCATAGCCACACCCATTGCTTGCCGATAAAATTTACTGGAATACCAAAAATAATTATGTGACATGGCTAGATCTAGGCTATTAAGTATAAATTCTTTTTGTCGGGATTTCAGTCCTGATTTGATATCTAGAGCCCATTCTACTGCCCCTAACGCATCTGCATGTCTAATGTTTGTATAGAGGGAGTTCACATCAACACTTGCCATAACACAGACTCCCTCTACACTAATCCCCCTAAGCAGGTTAATCAGATCACCACTGTCCCTCAGACAAGTGGGAAACATGGGAACCAATGGGATCCTGAATGTCTCTACAATACTTTTTATTTATTTTTTTTGTGTGTGTCCTCATTAACCTTTTTGATAAAATCTTGAATGTGCTTAACCTTTTCTTTAAATTCACTAGACTCACTTTTATTTTTATTTTATTTTTCATTTTTTTAATTTTTTTTTTAATTTTTTTTCATTAATTTATTTTATTTTTTGATGGAGTTTATGCACCTACATATGGTTTTGTAATTATACTCATTTAATTTTAAACTTATTATTTGATTTCTTTTTTTCTTCTTTAGATGGATATATGTGAGGGTTATGCATATATGTATATAAGGGTTTTTAATTACTTTATTAAAAAATTATTTTTATTATTTTTATTATGTTTAATTTTATGTGAGCTAATTCATGGATATTGGCGTGTATAGCTAATAATAATAATAATGGATTGGAATTCCTTTTATGGGGTTTTCTGTTATTTGTATGGAAAGCTGAGGGACTTAAATGTATCCCATATGTGAAGGGACCTCACGGAGTGTGAACATAGGATGACAGAGACATACTGTGTACATTGTGGTTAATCCCCATGGTGATGGAGGGGAGGGACTTCCCATTGCTATTTAAGCAGCCTATGACAGGAGGTGTGCGTTTTGAGAACGCCCTGTGGGTGGGGCGAAACGTGCCAACGTACTTCTGGTTGGCTGTCCTGATGTCCCGCGTCATTTCAGGTGAGTGGAACGCACGCTGAGTGGTGCGTTCCAAACGGCCATCTTGCTTATTGTGAATAGTGCATTCTGTGCCCTGTTGTTGGATCAGGCTGTGAGGTCTCGATTTTAAAGGAATGTGGAATCTGTGAATCTGTGGAAGCTTCAAAAGGCTATAATAAACGCTGTTTATGATCATGGAAAATGTGAGTGGTCTGGCAAAAAGGTTTTTAAACTTATTACAGAGTTGTAGCAGTATTACACTATTAGAATTTTTTTCCCTACATTGCTGTGGAGCTGGTGAGAGGAGCAAGTGAAGGATTATCTACCATCTTGGGTGGAAGAAATCTTGGAAGTCTTAAAGGGGGTCTAGGAGCCCATAATAATCCTAAAAGGTGCAATACTCACCAAAATCTGGTGAGTGCGGTGTATGTTTGGTTGTCTCACTGGTGGATGGTGGAAGGATCACTATTGGCACTAGAAAGAAAAGATTTTTATTTTTATTTTGATGTTTCACTTGGACTTTTTAGTTGCTTTGGACACTATATAATTATATCACATTATTATTTAACTATATAATTAATTCATATATTAATTTTTTTTTCACTATATATTATTATTTTTTCATTATTAATTTGGAAGTTATTTTTTTGTATATGTACTGAGGTGGTGTTTTGCACAAAATATTCAGCATGCCTTTTATCTAATTCCTTGGATTGTCTACTTTCCTAAAAGGGGTCATTTGGGGGGAGGGGGGGGGGTTGGTTGTACTATCCTGGCACTTTAGGGCCTTCAAAACTGTGATAGGTGGTGAGGAAGTGATATGAGGAAATATACCCTTTGAAAGCCTGAAAGTGGTCATTGGATTTTGAGGACCTGAATGTGGCTAGGCTGCCAAAAAGTATCTCACATGTGGTATCCCCATACTTGGGAGAAGCAGCAGAATGTGTTTTGTGGCGTTATTCCACATATATCCATTGCGTACATAAGCAATATATAATTTAATTCACAACTTTGTGTAAAAAAAATTGTCATTTTTAAAAAATTTGTGACAAAAAAAATAAAATGTTCCATGGACTCAACATCTCTCTCAGCAAATTTCTTGGGGTGTCTACTTTCCAAAAAGGGGTAATTTTGGGGGTCTTTGTACTTCCCTGGCATTTTAGCGCCTCAAGAAATGTGAAAGTAAAAGCTGCATAAATTCCAGTATATACACCATAGTTTGTAGATTCTATAACTGTCACACAAACCAATTAATATACACATATTGTGATTTTTTTTTTACCAAAGACAGGCAGAAGAATACATTTTGGCCTAAATTTATGACTAACTTTGAGTTAGCTGGATATTTTTTTGTAACCGAAAGTTGAAAATATCTTTTTTTTTCAAAATGGTTGGTATTTTTTTCATTCATATCTCTAAAAATGAAAAAACCCAGTGGTGATCAAATATAAAAAAAAGCTATATTTGTGTGAAAAAAGACATACATTTCATTTGGGGACAGCAGCGCATGACCGCGCAATTACTAGTTGGAATAGCGCAGTGCCGAATAGGGGGAATATCTTCCAGAGGGCAAGTTGTTAACTAAATGTAGCAATTTCTAGGTAACTAAAATAGAATTTTATATTGGTTTTATATACGTAATAATTACATAATAGCAAGTGAAACTCGAAAAAATTAGAATATTGTGCAAAAGTTCATTTATTTCAGTAATGCAACATAAAAGGTGAAACTAATATATGAGATAGACTCATTACATGCAAAGCAAGATAGTTCAAGCTGTGATTTGTCATAATTGTGATGATTATGGCTTACAGCTCATGAAAACCCCAAATCCACAATCTCAGAAAATTAGAATATTACATGCAATCAATAAAACAAGGATTGTACATAGAACAATATCAGACCTCTGAAAAGTATAAGCATGCATATGTACTCAGTACTTGGTTTGGGCCCCTTTTGCAGCAATTACTGCCTCAATGCGGCGTGGCATGGAAGCTATCAACCTGTGGCACTGCTGAGGTGTTATGGAAGACCAGGATGCTTCAATAGCGGCCTTCAG